ATGTATATGTATACATATATATATATATATGTATATGTATACATATATATATATATATGTATATGTATACATATATATATATATGTATACATACATATACATATATACATATGTATATATTTATATATATATAGTAGATATAAGAATGTAATGCTGATTGATGATCTGATAGCTTGTACTGCAAGGAAACAAACAGGAAAACCTTTACAAAACGTTAGCAAGCACCTTTACAGAAGATATAAATGGCATCCATTTTGGGATCATCTCGCGATCAGAGTAACAGTCATAAGCTACTGAACATGGAACATCGACTTCGATCTCAGAGCTGCATCCATACAAAGATCAAATCATCTTTCTATTACCTTTTGGCATGATCAAGTACAAACTCAAGCTCATCAAACAACTACCAGAACTGTAAGTTCACAAAGGCTAACAGCCATGGAGCTATGCTTAAAAGCTGAAACCTAATAAAAAATCAGTAAGTAATGGTGATAAAGATTATTTATGAATAGACATATTTATAAATGCCAAGTGACTTATGGATCCTTTTTGTAAATAGACATATTGATCCTGTCGACAAAAAGCCACGTGATAAGAATATGCAGGTTGTATGACTGCTGATCTGTCAATATTAATGATGTTCATGTTTTTTCAATTCACTGTAGTCGTTTTTGAGCTATCTCTTAGGATGCATCTCAAGAGCAGGTGACAGAAAGTCCCAGATTTGCTGAAACAAAGACCATTCTCGGTTGGTTCAAAAAGCATTCCCTAACTATGCTAGGATAATATTTCCTTCAAATGACTGATAACTTATTTTTTTTCATAATGCTTTAAAGCTAAAACCAAAATCTTGCTAACTAGTCTTAACAAAACATGCACTGGAAAATTTTAAATGCATGCTGATTTATTGCTTGGATTTGTTTCCTAAAATCTTTGATCATTTGAGGAATTAAGAACTACTTTTAACTTTTCTCTTTTACTTGAAAGGCTTTACCGAAAAAAAAAAAGTTCTTGACTTAAGGTGTGCACTGATTTGCTCCAGTATCAACCTTTTCCGCCCGATGTCAAATGTAGTAGTGAGAAAGAAGAAGAAAGCTTGGTCTTTTAACTCACAATACCTGATCAGAAAGCTGAAGAGCTAACGATCGGCCTGGTCTGCATTACCACAACCTTTTTCTTAGGAACCTTACTTAACAACTGTGTTTTCTCCCTTAATCTGATGGTTTCATTTCCCTTGAATAATTTTCATTCTTTTCTTATCGATCGGTATCGATTCGCTCTAAAAGGGACTTTACAGGTTCACATTAAAGTTGGTCAAGCCGGTTTCGGATCGGGTCCTCACAATCGCAACATAATCAGCAGATTCGAGCATCAAACAAGAAGACGACACCAGCAAACGGGCGAGGGAGGGTTCATTCGAGTACCTGCAATCCTGCCACTCCATGACAGGGGAGAAAGGTCTGACGGCGGTCCGCCTAGGGGAGGGCTTCCTCCTCGACGGACGCGAAGGGATTCTGAGGAAGAGGGCATTGGGGGAAGGCCTGAATCCCGCTCCCCTGACGGAAGCGAGGCTAAAGGCGGCGCCTTTCTCCGCATTCTTGAGGTGGGACAGAGGGGTTGGCCCCAAGGAGATGCAAGCAGCTGAACTCATTGGCTGGTCTCTCTCTTTCTCCCCTCTTCCGCTCCTCTTTTCTCTCTCCACAGAGACGGGAGACGGTGTTCGACGCCTGTGATTTGGGGTGGGGGGAGACTGGATATGATCTCATCGCACCTTCTTGACTCCACGTCGGTTCAATCTTGACCGTGATTTCTTGATCCAATGACTGCGTTGACTTGGTTCCGATTTGGGTCTCATTGAGGCAGTGATCCTTAAATTCCTAATTTTTCATCAAATTCTACCGGAAGAAAAACTGAAAAATCGTGATATAAAATATAATTATTCTTTTAAGAATACCTATTCGTATATAACATAAAAAAAGTACTATAAATTTAACATAACATAGAGCTCTGATGTTTGGAACATGTGAAATCGGCCTTATGAAATTTAATATAGCATATATATTTTCCCTTCGTATATCTCTTACTAACATTCACCTAAATTTTACATAAATAATAATGATTGTCCATAAGTAAATTGAATTAAAAATTACCTAAAACATAAAAGTGTATGGTCGTTCCTTTAGCAACCACCAGCTTTGAGGTCACCAACGTCATTTAGGTTGGTTTCTGTCTTTATCAATATAATATATGTACTTAATTGGCAGAAATGTTATATATAATTTACTGAGTTATAATTAAGATATTATAATTTCATACAATATAAAGATTTTACTAACGATAAATATTTTATAGATAATTAGTTAAACATAAACATGGGATATATCAGATAATATCGTTCACTTGACTTCAAAAGTCATCATCATAATCATTAACTCAAAATAAATAAATAAAAATTCAGGACAAAAATAGAATTAACAACAGCTGAACCATTAAAAATTGCTGTGGACTTTCAAAACAGTCCAAGGATATAATGATACCATCCAAGCCACAATATGGGCCTTTCCTTCGTAATACCATCCGAATAGAAAACCATGAGAAAGAGTCACCGATCCAGCAACGTACGTCATATACATTTAAATCCATATACCTTAGTAATATACACGTATTGAAGCAATCTATGTACATAATAAGAATGAAATGTCTGCTTGATTGTTCATAGATCACTGTTCACATTAAGTATTAATTATTAGTACAGGTTTCAGCATTATCTTAAGACAACTGGCTGTCTATAATCAACCAAAAGTCTTTTCACTACTGTAGCACATGTACAGGAATCCATCTTCGTCTTTGTATGACCCGTATACGGAGTCCATGAGGCTGGCTGTAAAATCAATTTTAGAGAGCACTCATAAGCAGAGTATGTAACCAGAGATGAATTTGGCTCATATTAAACGTATAAATAAGAATAGAATACCAACAAATTGTACCTGTTTGCGGCAAGGTATTTTTAACAAACACAAAAAGTGCTTTTCCAGGAGTGAGGTGCAGTCTGCTACTCAATATGTGAATAAATTGCCCAACAGACATGTCTTTAGGAACCAGATATCTGAAGAAGGATTGCAAAAACGATGAGATAATCATTATTTGACACGAAATCTCTCAACACCAGACATCCATATTCACATACACTGTTATAGTCTTTTCTTCTATACATCAAGAATGCTCTTCACATACACTGTTATGGTCTTTTCTTCTATACAGCAAATATAAAAGTTTGATCCCGGTAAAATGAGTCGATTTGAGTATTCTATTCATCTGGTATTAATTGAGTCAACTAGTAATATTGTCCTAAAAGAACACAATGATGGGAAAATAACCATGAAACTGACTAATTAGTTGGAAACCATGATTCGCAGTTGTTTCAGCAGCTATTCTTTAACGCAATCGATCATTGTTCCAGACTAAAGATAGTAGATCCATCTATTCTGAAATCCAGGAGAACAATTATGACTTCTGAAAAAAGAAACATACAAGAAAAAAAATCTTGTCCAGGCTAAAGACACTCAAATTGATGCTTCACAACCACTAATCTAAGAATGTTTCTTCTTTTACTACAACTTCTGTTGCCACATTATTCTACTGATATTTGATGCATTCGGATATTTCAAAATAAAAAATAGAGAAAAAAAATATGGCCAATAGCCTTCCCTTCTCTTGGTCACCATTTCTCCACTTTTCTTTTTTTTTCCTCCCTCTAAATGCCTTCTATGCTACTACCAATTCTTTCATTTAAAATTGTAACAACTATATCTTCTATAAACCTTGGTTGCATTTTACATTTTTCTTCCTTCTATACTATAATACTGATAGTCAGACAATTATAATGTGACTATTAGTTATTGTCAAAATCAGCACTTGTATGCTTTTCCATACCTTTTAACAATTTTCCTAGTTTGATTGTCATGCACTCAGACCTTTTTGCTTAAGATTTTCATATACTTATTGAGATCTTTCTCATAGCTGCTGCTGGAATAATTTCAGCAGTCCACAACTGATTGCAATCATTTTCATCTGCTAAAATTTGGTCAATGTTGATTATGAAGGCTCGATATATTATTTTGAGTCAACCACTTGACTAATCCTACAAAGAAGGCTGATAATGAGTTCTTGGTCAAAACATTTGGTTCATAAATAACACATGAGAATGCTATGGAGCAGCAATAAAGACACCAAGATGGATATACAGTATTACTGGGAAAGAGAAGATAAGTTGCAATTTTTAAATAGTCAGGATAGTATCATCAGAATTGTTTATCTAGCACAGATAGTAAAGTCCATGTAGGTGAAATGAAATGTTTTGGTGTTACTTCCACCAATGCCAAATTAATTCATTCTTCGTATGTTTGGGAATAGCTAAACTAAATGTCCTATATGATATACAAGAGTAGCATTGCTCAAGATAGAGAAAATAATTATGAAAAAGGACAATATTTCTAAGTTGTTTCTCTCATAGCCACACCATAGGTGATAACTCATTAACAATAAATAACAAAATAGGATTGTCATGCGCAGAATATACAAGAATTACTTTAAAATATACACTTGTATATTTGCTTTAGTAAAAATAAAATTTCAACTCTAAGGTTGAAATTTACGACCTGAGACAACAATAAGGTTGCTTCTTTACGACTTGGAAAACCAGGATTCGAGTCACAGAAACAGTCTCTTTAAATATTTAAAGCTAAGGCTATGTATATTGACTCTCCTCGAACTCTGCACTGGTGAGAGCCTTATGCACTGAGTACACGGTTTTTTTTAATAAAATTTTAAAATATTTCACGTTAGAATTACACAAACACCATACGGAATGACATACCCATAATTTGAGTAAGGAAAACTATTACCAGCCACAACAACGATGCAAACAAAAAATACTAATCAAGAAAAAGGGATGAGAAAAGGATTCTGTTCTATCGGATTCACACAAAATGGAAAAATAAAAGTAATTATTAATCAGAAACGAGAGGAGCAACTTATCCTGTTTATGATGAAGTAATGTATATCCATAGAAAAACTTACTTTCTCTTTTCCATGTCCGGAAGATCACTCCTTGAGAACCTCTCGACAATTACCTGATGAAGCAAAACGAAGAGCATCATAGAAGCTACATCGCTGTAAAGTGAACTTGCATGACTCACCTCACAAATTATACGCGACTTCTTGCCAACAATGTTGACATAATTCTTTAAGGCAGTAAATTTAAATTTTGAGCATCATATATAGTAAATGTAGTAGTTACCATCTAGAAAAACTAGAGATTTCAAGCTCAGTTTCTTTTCAAGATTCGTAATAAGCCTAACGATTAGAAATTCCAACCGCGGATGAATAAACATTGTAGTGCAGCAAAGTCGGATGAATAAACACAATGGGCCGCGATCCTTCCCCTAATAAGAAGGGCGAGATTCGTCCTAAATCTAGATTAATTGGGGGAACCCGCAATGATTTGGGGCAAATCAATGATCAAAGAAGGCGAGGAAAAGAAGGATTCGTCCTCACCGGCACCCGATCGGGGTATTTGGCAACGATGTCTCTCGATTCCGCGAGCCGCTCCCCTGACACAATTTCGGATCGAATATAACATGACGAGAGATTGGGAATAAGAAAAGAAACGAAATCAAGGGCGCCAAACAAAAATCGGAGAGGGGAATCGAACAGGTAGGAAGGACGAACCGAAGGAGAACTCGTCCTTGAAGGATATCAACTTCTGCTTCATGGCGAGGGTTCCGGATTTGGGGGACGCGCCCGTGGAAAGGAAACGGTGGTCGCCTCTCCCCAATCTCCGTTTGGGATCCGCAAGTACATTTCAGTCATTAATTCTGGCCTTATATAGCATTCCAGATAGGCGGTCCGGTCCGGTCCGGTCCGAGTTAAGTCCAGTGGACCCAAGCGCTGTGGGCCTTCCTAGGGGTTTCGTGGGGAACAGCTACATTCGAAACCCGATCCATGATGCATCGATCTGATCCGATCCATTTACTCCAATTCGGATCGGGTATAATTTACAAATGTCTATCGGATCCACGACGCATCGGTCGGCCCGACCCAACTAATCGAATCCGACTATCTTTTCTTAGAGAATACAAATATGGAGATCCGAAAAAGGAAAACTCCACAGTTCTATAATGGTAAAAACAATAGACGTTATTCCTATAGATTGTTCATATCGTGTCGAGACGAAGATTGATGAACGATTACATCGATTTGTGTAAGTTGAAGACAATATAAAAGATTGATGAACGATTTTTGGATCGGAGGAGCAAATTATTTTCACCCATTAACCCACTCGGTCCCTATCAGTAACATGTGAATCTGCTCTAAAAATTTCTGATACATAAATGAACTATTTTGAATCTGTTCATGAGCTTATTAATGACAACTGAGAGGTCAAAAAATGTCAAGATTATAATGTTCAAACCAGCCTCGATAACAGCTTTATAATTAGCTCGATTGATGAACAAGCAGCAGTTCAAGCAAGGCTTCAACAGATTAAACACCAAACTACGACTCACAAACGACTTGGTTCATTTGTAACCCTAACTAAACCATAAAAGAAGTGATAAGTGACAACTCTTACTTGAGATAATCTCCAACAGGTCTGAGATTATCCAATCTGCTAGTCCATGATGGAAAATATTAAGGCCACCATTATGTTATGTCCCATTGATCGGATCGCTATGAGCTATATTTCTCCTGTATCAGGAAGGATAACATACACTGGAGCTCAGCTGAATGATGAGTTCTGCTACTACCCACCCGTGGAACAAAATCATCAACACGCAGATGGAAGAGAGCCTTCGTCAGGATCTACCGACCATCTTCGTCGACTAATAAATATGAAGTCAGAGAAAAAAATGAGATCGGCCGGCAAAGAACAATGATCTGATTCCATCAACATAAGGATATTTTAGTCACCATAAGTGTAAGACTGAAATAGCAAAACTACTGTCTTGAAGATGACTACTACACCAAACTGGGTGCTGTGGTGTTCACGGCTCTTCACATGAATCCATATTCCAGCAATTCCCATCTGAACGAAGGGAAAACATAGAAAACTTCAGGTGGAGTCTTAAACAACAGACCCACACAGACGCAAACCGCCGCGATTCCGACCAGAGAGAGCATTACTGGTCTGTACAACATTGTCCTTGCCACAGAGTTCTGGTAAACAAGCTGTTGGCTGCATCGGTTGCAAGATGGTGGCTGTTTTGAGCTCAACCAAGTCGTTCTATCTGAAGCATCTGCTTTAACAGATTTTAGCACATCTACTGTCTTATAGGAGGCATCTCCAGAAATGTTGAGGACCACCTGATTCAGATGAAATTGCTTATCGATTTTGTTTTGAACCAATCTTAAATAGGAATCATGGCCACGAACAAGGGCATAGTCTTTGGGAGTGAATCCGGTGCTGTCACGTAGATTCTTCCATGCGTTGATTCCCAGCTGGCCAGACAACAAAATGGGCCATGAGAAACAAAATCAAATAGTAAAGTCAGAACAAAGAGTAACCTATACATCCTCAATAGTCGCCAGCATCTGGACTTGAAAAAAAAAGGGCAACATAATGCTGCCAATTCATATCTCAAGTAGAGGATTGAAATTTCTTAGCAAAGTAATTAATCTCTGCAGTGTGGTTAACTAAAAGAAAAATGAGAAGACTTAAGTGTCGCCACATTGACAGATCATAGGTTCACTAAATCACATTTAACACTCAGCAGCACCAATGGAGATGAACTTCAACATGATTTGGCAAAAAAGCATGCTGCTGAAAGGAAATTCATGTGGGTAAAAATGGCATGGAGAATTAGTTGGTGGTGACCTCAGCATATTGTAACAATTTTGGGATTGAATCTTGTATATCTTGCTTTGACTACAGCAGTAATATGCTTTAATCACCAAAAAGATGGTGCAAGTCATTGTCCGATCAGACAACATATGTCAAATTAGATAACATGACTAAATATTTCAAGGGGCCTGGAGTTGAATAAAAGAAAACAAAGCAAAATGCACAGTAGTAGAAGTCGATGCAGCTAGCTCTGTGAATAACTCCAATACTCAGTAATGTTGGTGGCTTCTACCGTTGAATAAAAGAATACAAAGCAAAATGCACAGAAGTAGAAGCCTATGCAGCTAGCTCTGTGAATAACTCCAATGCTCAATAATGTCGGTGGCTTCTACCCACCATGTGAAATCAGTCAATTAAGTAACTCACACGTATAAAAAAGAATTGTGTACTGAAAAATGACAGATCAAAGCAAGATGAAGTTAAATCAGATGATACCTTATCACTGCCACAATCAACATAAGAAGTGAAGATGAGAATAGCAAATAATGGAGTACCTGTCCAGGATCATTAGTAAGTGCATCCAATATGCTCTCAGCACCACTGGTGGAGGATGCGATATGGAGTGGAGTTAACCCAGATGGGCCAAGCATGTCAGGTCTGAACAAGAACTGATCAGGATCCATCTGCTTTGAAGGTTTACTGGGTTTATATCTCAATAGAAGTTCTACCATGGCCTTTGAATTTATTTGTACGGCACTGTGAAGCAGATTTACAGACAAAGCAAGCTCCATAGATGATTGCCCGCCTGCATCTACTGTTCCACTGAATAAAATATCTAGAAGTTTCTTCACCACTGCAGCCCACTCCCTATTCATAGCAAATGACATAAGCCACCTAAAACGTGGCAGGGGAAACAAATTTCGAGATAATTTAGATTCTCGAGAAATGGACACCATATGATTCCTTCGGAGAAGCCACCCAAGTTCGTTTATAAAGTCCAGAGCTTGATTTCTAGCGTTGTCTGTATCTTTTCTTTCCTGAAGTTGGTCATCACATGAACCCACATTAATAGATTTCTCCAGCACACGGATCTCAGAGCATACATCTTCATCCGCGACTATGAAAGGGAAGAATCCATTGGTAAGCCCACAGTCTTCAAGCTAGATTCAAAACCAAGGATACCATAATCAAGAGAAAAGCTAAGCTGGCCAAAAAGGAAACTAAAATGGGAACTAATTGACTATAGCATTATGGAACCTCAATGAATCCTCTCCCTGTTTTATCAGGTAGCAAACAGGAAAAGCTCAGGCACTGAGCTGACTCATGCCCTGCACATCTACTGAACCCCTCAACTAGATCTTGTGTTGTTTCTTGGAACAGGTATTTTCCATCAAATGAACATAGTAACCTGACAAAAGATTATCACTATGATACAAAATTAGTCTCAAAAGGAGTTGGACATATAAGTTCTGCAAAAATAAGTAAGCAGTTGAACAACTAGCAAAATATAGCAGGGAGCTGAGGGCAAAAAAGGGTAAAGAAAATAGATACCTAGATGTTGGTTGAACAATATTAAAGCCTTTCACAGTAAAATTGACATTTGTAGAATGAGAAACTGCGATAGGCGTGACAGACAAGATCTTACAATGGTTGGAATGTCCAACAAGTAAAGGCATGTCTAGCACAACCTGACCTGAATAAGCATTATTCAAAAAGATGAGGAGACGTGTCTGAAGCAGTCAGAAAAACAATGCAGCTCATAAGAAGCTCGACATACCATCATAAATAAAAGCTGCATAGTTTTGTACCCTAGCAAAGATCCATCCCGTTGTCCAGAAATCATGAGAGTTATGCAAAAGCCTAGCTAAGTAGGAGCTTAAATCATTGCAGAGCTGTGAACAGAGGCAGAATCAGATGACAAAATGAATGGAAGTAGTTGTGGAACCCTAAATTTCTCAATCATGGAAACTAACCTGTGCCCAGGCGAACTCAGGTTGACGAAGGTATATTGTCAGAATTATGCAACCTGGCCTAATGTAGCTCTCAATATCTGTTGGACTATTGGATAACCAATCAAGAATCTGCAATTTTGTATTTTATGATAAATCAGCCAGGAAAAGTTGAAGAGTAGCAGGAAAATTTAAATAGAAGTTTTCTAGATGTGTTTCAATCATGTAAAATAACTTACTTGTGCTCGCAAGACAAGAGGAAGATCATGAGGGTTTTTGCCAAAGAGTTTGAAGATGATTCTATCTGTTCGACACTGAAATGAGAAGAGAAGAAAAATAATTGACAAACACTGTAAATTGAAAACCTTTCTATATGTACTTGAAAATCAAAAGAATGTAGCATATCTTTAAAACTCATCAATGTTGACAACTCACTCTAAGATCTATCTCAAAAAAAAAAAAAAAAAAAAAAAATCAATCTAGAGTTTGTCAACACATTTTGTGTCACTGAACACCTGAATAAATGCAGTTGTTCTCAAGGAATGTCATTATGTATATAAATAAACAACCAGTAGTAAATACGTTCTCAATGAAAGCCAATATATACGTACAATTCTAATTCTAACTTCCATCTTCCTCACTGGTATTCAATCTCCATTACAGTAAATACTTCTTTTATACTTGCACCAGTTTAGTAATAAAGCAGGGTGCCACCATGTTCTACCATGATGTTTGACATTGCACTATCATCTGGCATTTAACCCAGGCCTTCTATTTGAAAGCTCATAAAAGTTGGTGTGTTTCAATGTAATTTTGGAGGCATTTTAATAATAAGGTGTTAGGAAGAGTTCAAAATGTACACCAAAATAGATAACATTAATCAGTACCATGATACCTACGTAGATGGCGATTGATTGTTAATGTTTTCAGCTAATAACTACTGAGAACCACACAAATTCATATATATTGGGTTGCTTTTCATTCATGGGATGCAAAGATTTGACTCATGCTGTTTTGCCTGGGTCGAATGATTGTCAACCAACTTTACATAGACTAGTAAATAAGATCATTCTGGAACCATCAAGATTAAAAATGTTTTAGAAGCAAACCAAACAGAATCATATACCTGAGCATCTCCATGGGACCTGGATTGAGTGTGGTTGGATGTTGAATCTGAATTGCCACTAGTTTGAGGTGGACTTAACTGACAAGTATTCTGCAGCAACCATGAAGGAACATTAGGAGATCCTATCCCAGTGCACAAAGATGTTGCTGGCATCTCTCCTTTTTTGCAATCTCGTGGATCACTGTTCAAATCAAAGTCCTTCATTCTGACTCTATCAATGACAAGCTCTGAAAAATTTAATCAGCATCAAGCTTTTGTTCTGAGAAAAGGACAATATTCACAGGTATTTAGAATGCAGAATGTGCAGATGAGGAACTGCACGCGAGGCCTCACCTTCAGAAGATTCTCTTCCTATTTTAGGAACATCAGCAACAGATGGGACATGATCAGTTTCCTGTGGAGGACCCTGAACACCAGGGGTGCAAGTCATTTTAGCTGCCGAACCCAAGGGCCTTCTAGAATCTTGCTCAGGAACACCATTTGGAACAGAAGTAATAATTGCTTCTGAGGATGTTCCAGCTGTAGTTACAAGCTTTGGTGGATCCTGAGCTGCCCGTAGGAGTCGAGAAAGGTCACTTGGATCCAAGGAATTAGCGAGGGTGCCAAGGTTACTTAAAAAATGAGTCAATAGCTCCTGATCTTGTGATCGTTCAGAGTTATTGGCTGCATGTGCATAAGACAAAATCAGCAGCTCCTGAAAACATCCAGTTATAATGTTTCTACACATGGCGTGTAAAATATCATTCTTAAAGGCATCCAGCTATCCACTTGATGTTGTTGGCATATAGTTTCATATAAAATATGATTAAAATATATATTTCAACTAAGTACAAAATAAAAGCTCAATCAAATATAAGTTTTTCATAGGAATTTGTAAGAGACACTTGAATGCATTTATGGTGATGTTATCATGTGGCACATATTATAATACTAAAACAATAATTACAGTATAACCATACTAATAAGTTTTGCATACCCCACATATGCAACCATAGTTTGATGCATACACAGACCGCATGTACCACCTAATGTGGCTGCATATGACTGCATTACAAATGCAGCTACAAACAAAATAGAAGATATCACATTTTGGAACACTAGAAGGAATAACACAACAAAGGCCAATGATCTGGAACATCCTTATGTCTTACCATGCTCCACTTCTGTGCTATTTTAAGCTAACTGTCACATTTTATGGTACAACAGAATGCATTCATTAAATAATCAGTGTGCACTAACTGGCCAGAGACTCTAGAATCCTAGAATGTGGTGCAAGGCAAGGTACAGACCAAATCAGATCAAAGGAAAACTTTGCTGGTATCCATCATATTAATTATCTAGGAAGCTGCAAATACTTGATACATCTACTGCTATTAAGGACTTCAAGATATTACCCTCCTCTTTAATGACCACTGGGACCTACTGAAACCTATCCTCGTCAAATTGGAGTCTGCCCTATGCTCCATAGGTCAATATTCTCAAAATCAGTGCTCCACATATTAAGCTTGAATGATATCAGTGGAAACAGGTGAAATCACAGAGTGAAACACGCTACATACGGTCAATGTGGTTTCGGTAGGCTCAGCACACAACACTAGTGCATGCCACATCCCTGTGCCATGACGATCCATTTATCACCTTTTTTGAGGAGGGTGTGTTACATCTCTTCAGCAACCTGATTTTCCCACTTTTTTATTTGCAAACATGAGCACAGTAATGACCAGTATAATGTGATGTATTTCCTGAAGCAGCCTACAAACACAGGAAACATATATTGTAAATTATGTCCTAGGGTCAGATGGACTAGAAACTTAGAGAACTAGTACTTGATATATGTTAAACCAATCAACCATCCGAGAAGTCTGCCTAGGACTGTATGCATACCAATTCCTAACACTGATCAAAAGCTCATAAAGGGTATCACAATAAATAAATAGGTGCCCTAAAACTGGTTGGTATATAAAGATTCATGTAGAAAAATAGCAAAAGGAAGGAAATAGAAAAGCCAAATGGAAAAACATGTTGCAGATATTCAATTAATAAACTGCAGCAATTACATTGCAGATTGGATAGGATCCTAAGTAGACTTATCAACAAATAGCTGCTAGCCCTTTCATCAATAGAAGAACTCCCATTGACATTGTCATCAGGATGATTTTTCCTCCTACGCCTATTGTGGCCAGCTAAACGTCGCCGGCAACTTCTTTTCCCTTCATCAAACTCTTCAAGGAGATGAAATCTGCACATATAGTTAACAAACACTTAAAATAATGGCAGTGAAGAAGAAGTTCAAAAGTAAAAACATTTTAAAGGATATTCTAGAAGCTATTAACATATCCAACATTGACAAACAAAGTTTGGCAAGCCAAACTTGAGATCAACTGCCACCGAGGCTAGTTCCGAAGGCTATCAAAACAAAAGTGTCATGATCCCAACATTTCTTCATTATCTTTTCATTTTAGTTAAACTAACTTTCTCATTGTCACTGTAAAGGATGTAGCAAAATTATTCCCTTGACTTCTATTGCAATTTGTTCTGGCTATTCCTGTTGAAACTTCTACAGCTAGTTATAGCTTCTGTTCTTGAGTGTACAAGATTGGGGAACTTAATAATTAAATGACCATCTAATTCATGAATGATTTCACAGAAGAAACACAATAAATAAACTGGACAATCTGTTAAATACCATAAACAAAATCACTCTAAGCAGTTCGATAAAAGAAAACATGTCATACAAATGCATTTAACACTGAATATATGTTACCCATGATGGGTTTGGGTAGAGAACCAAAAGAATAAGCTGAACCAACCTACTACATTGCTGGCAGAATCGTTGAATAGCATTTCTGACAATTGCTGAACTGGCTTTTGCATGCATCTCACAGACCTTGTGCCGCCTATGGTAGTCCCTTGAATCACAGAGGTCAGCATCACAACCTTCAACCTGGCAAGTTGGATTACTAGAACTGCCTCCTTGTGATTTGTTTTTCTTTTCATTCTTTACTTCCCAATTTGCAAAATCAGATTCCACGACTGGATATGCATGTCCCCCAAGTCTTAAGCTAAGGGATCCTGCTCCACCACAAGATTCATCCTCTTCCACCACTACAATCCTCCTCTTCTTCTCCGACTCGCCATTATCCTTCTCAACTAGTCCACAATCAGCACCTTCGGAGGAAGATGATGGGCTATTCAACACCAATCCTTTAGCTGCATCCTGGCGCAGATGTTTGCTCCAGCAATCTGCAGGGACCGCATCCAAGGGGGTTGCAACAAAGTGTTCACCATCCCATCTCCAGTCATTCAAATCCCACTCGACGCCCTTCTGCCCAATCACATTAACATTAGATGTCCCAGCAGCCAGAAACTGATGGCTCTTGCTCCCAATTCTGGTCTCCATCAAGGCAAAAACCTCAAAGCAATTCAATAGCCCGAGATTTGCTCTAAGTGTATTCTAAGCGCACAAACACCCCAAGAGGGAGAACACGGTGGTCAATGGAGCTCCTAAATCGTCTCACTGCTCCCCCAGAAATCTAAAAACATGACACCCACGCACCCGCAGATCCAAACGAGTGAAACCCACATACCAATCACAAAGCCCAAAACAAAAGCACTCAAAAATTGAAAAAACAGCAACTTTTTCACTAGAGAAAGCCAATTTCACTTATTAACGACGACAAATAGCTCCGATTAAAACGCCGACAAACATCAACAACATCAATGTCACTCCGGGACCTAAATCTGCTCAAATGCCTGCGTCACATTTCAGATGGAACGAAAAATACCAAAATTAGACGTCTTCCGCGAACCAAACAGTAGCAACATATCAAATTCCCCAAAGTCCGCTAGAAGCACAAATCAGCTAACAATTCCTCAAAAGCTCGCTGATTTCGAGGTAAACCGGAGAAAAACGACAAAACCAGCCAAAAGTTACGAAAAAATTCGAGAAAGAGAACCTTCCTTCGAAGAAATTAGAGGCTGATTTGAGGAACCCATATCGTCTGGATCGATATGACCCCAAAATCAGCGGCGCGAACCGGAAGAAGACAGGAAAAATATCGCAGAAGTCGGCCGACGAACCACAACACCAGCAGGAGAGAAGGGAGAGATGAGTAGAAAAAGCGGATGAAGGAAAAGTCTCCGGGAAACGTTACGAATGCGGTTTCGCCGCGGGTGCCCCACTCCCCATACCTCTCGCGTTCTCTCACCCATCCAAATCCCTTACCACCGCACCCGTCTTCCACCCAGGCCGATCGGTGGTCGGGGCCCACCAGTCACCGTCGATGACGTGGAACGGGTGTGATCCATAGGTCATCGCGTCTCAGTTCTTTATGACGCCATAATTTTTTTTGTTTTACATCAGACAACATTGTACTTTTTAATTTATTTCTCACACTCCGTGCCATATATGGTCCACAGGGCGACAGCGGAACCCCACGATCCACTGGGTCCCACGACGCGGCAGGCCTGTGCTAAGAGGTGCGGGAAAGGGGTACGTTCCCGAGTATTTCTTTTGGCGAGCGGGAATGGCATCTCCGACTGAAACCGAACGCTCTCTCCGGTGTCACCGTCACGAGGGCGGGTGGGGGCGTCGGTCCTCGTTTCGTGCTACATTATGGGAACGTACGCGTAAAAAGCTCTATGAGTCACGCAGTATTGGCCGTCCGATGCAGATCTTGAAAAGATCGTAACCGTGCGTTTGTGGGTGACGGGGAAGTAATATCTGCATGCGGCCGTTGTGAGGGTGTCGTTCTCCGTACCCCACAATAATGCGCGTGGTTCCGTCGCATCAGGACCGTCCGTTACAAAATGCTCATCCATCAAAGTACTAGTGATGGACCCTGGGCCGTCTGTTGACGCCGTCGGCCATGCGGGTGTTTGGATTTGGGCTTTGGCCGAGTTCAATTACATATCAGCCCACGAGCCACGTTCTTGCTTCTCTCGCTCTGCACGTGCGTAGCACGCGCATAACACTATATTATTCCGCAGTAGCAAACAGGTCAACGTTGGCTGCTGCTCGATTGACGGAGCCGCTCGTGGCCCGCACCGGAGCAGAGAGAGCCGTTCGAGAGCTTACCCAAACCCTAGAAAGGAGTACAAGCAGAGGAAGAGAAGCAACCCCCAAATCTCTCTCTCTCTCTCTTCTCTCTTCTCTCTCTCTCTCTCTCTCGCTCTCTACGAAGTCCAAACGTGATCGTTTCCACCTTAACCTCTTGACCGTGAAATCTCCCTTGTTGTAGGGTTTCTACGACGTGAATCGTGATGTCGCGAAAGCCATGACGACACCGTCGGGGGCGAAGAGGGATCTCCGGCCAGCCGGGTGCGGGGGGGACGGTTGCGGCGCCCGGGATCCCTGGCCTCTGCACAACGTCCGCCACCGCACTGTCTTCTGTCGCCTCTGCACCTCCTGCGTCCTTCGGTACCACCCCGGCTCGTTCTGCGTTTCCTGCTTTGATCTCCTTCTTGACGGAGGCGGCGCCTCCCCGGTCGTCCGCTGCTCCCGTTGCCCCTCCATCGCACACTCCGCTTGCCTACTGGAGGCTGCTCCCTCCTTCGTGTGCCCCAGCTGCTCCGACCCCGGCGGTTCCTCCTCATACTTTTCGCTCGGCGAGGAGAAATCGATCGATCTCAAGTCCTCTAAAGTGCTTCTGGCCGCCGCTAAACTGGCGGCCGCGTCCATTGGCAGGGCAGCGGCGTGCACCAGAGCAGATGCCGAGAGGAAGACTAAGGAAGCAGTCGTTGCGAGAAAGCGAGCAAGGGAAGCGCTCGAGAAGGTTCTTTTGTTGTCGCAGTCAGAGAAAGAGAAGAAGAACAGAGTAGCTTACCAGATTGCTGCACCGAGTCCCAAGCCTCAAGTCGTGGATTCGAAGAAAAAGATGCCGAAGCTGAGCAGCACAGTTGCAGCCATGGTGGGCCAGAAGAGAGTTCAGAACAAGGAGAGGGATAGATGGATGAGGTTTCAGGAGCCGATAGGGATGGAGCAGACACCAGTCCAGGGCACCGATAAGAATAAGGTGGATTTGCCCACAGGGATGCAGAACCATGCCACCAATGTGGAGACGGAGGGTACATTGACTGGTTTGTCTCACGGACACAATCCCATGGGTAAAGTGGAGAGGGATGAAGGAGGAGTCCTCAAAGGTTCTCAAGGTGGGCATGTTAAGGAGGAGGAAGTTGTTGCTGCTTGCTGATTGTGGTCCTGTGGTATCTGATCTGACTCGAGGTTAACATCTTAACCATCAAATGTTTTATGCTGCAAGGATATCTTATGTTCTTTATTCGTGATAAACTATGTGTGATTCTATCTTACTTCCTGTCTTAAATTGCTGCTATGTTTCAAAAAATAGAATCTCTTTAGCATTGACATAGATTCTATTGGATCTTAGAGCTGTTTGTATATCTAGTGATCAGATGAGTAAAATCTGAATCTCATCTCTGTTCCCAAAAAAAAAACCTTGTTTTGGGCCTCTTGAAATGTTTTGACTTTTGATTCTTTTGACCTGCTGCAGATGATTCAGCGACGAGAACCAATTGTGCAGCTGTCAATGCTAGTCCATAAGTATCTCTAGCACTCGTGAGTTGGTTCGTGAATTGCTTTAGATAGCACACATAACAGTTGTTTGCAGCCATTGGAAATTGTTTGGGGTATTTTATATGTCCTCCAAGTCTTCTTTCTTGTCAGTGAAATGTCCCTGTTTGGTCTACTATGTCTGTTTTTATGGAGTTCTATAATTGTCTACCCCTCATTCTAAGTTTCTACTAATATGATCTAGAAATGTTATCTTATGCTATCTAATTTTAGTCTCACTTTTTTATTATAGTGGAGAATGGTGTGATTCTTATGTATGCTAAGAAAGCTCGATAATCAATTGTTTATTACTGGTATGAGTGCCAAAAGGCTAGAAAATAATATCCTCAGACATTCTTTTAGTTGATTTACAATGTGAGATAGAGGAAGGGTTTTGCTGAACAGACTCACTGTCTTTGTAGCAGGTGGGAGGAAACCCCATTTTGAAAAAGATGAGGTGAACTGTGCAAGTGGTTGAGACATGTCCTTAGAACACTACTCACTGCCACTAATGAATGATAATATATCTTAAATTGGAGGTGCTGTGAGAATAAGACTAGAAGACTGGACTAATGGTTAGGAGCCCTTAGAGATGGACATCATAGATATCAACAAGTAGGTTAGTGCGATCTACATCGGAGTTAAATGATGACGCAGGAGTCATGTATGCTTCCCTAAATATTTGGCCATTGAGATTTTGCTATTTTGCTACCTAAACTCTTGTTAGAGTGAAAAAATTTTACATTGCATGATATATCATGATTGAAAATCATGACGAAGAACTACTTCAATTAAATAAACTTCAAACTTTCAAACTATTTGTATCGTAGATGTTTAGAGTACATTTATGGTTGTAGTTTAATATAGAAATTATTTGCAGGGGTTTTATGCAAAATCAATATAATTCTGTATTAGCTATAGACTTTATGGATTGCTCTTTGTTGTTGCTTTGTAAGAGCTATTATTATGGAGGAAGGACCAAGGCTATACTTCACACTATAGATTCAATTTTTTTAGACCAAATAAACAATTTGTGCTTGATAATTTTGTTTGAATCTGTGTTAAAATGTTAGCACCTTTTAATGAGAGATGAACAAGAGGCTTTGAGAATCCTTCTATTGGGGTTCTTGTTGTTGTGTCTAGAACTTATCCTCTTGCTGGGCTGCCATTTAAAGAAGAAAAAAGGGTAGAGCCACTTTGGCCCCGTCATCTTTTTTTCTTTGGTCGAGTTTTTTAATGTAGTTTTCACTTTTTTCTATTCACATTGGGCCTAACAGGATGTTGGAAGCATTTGCGCATTGAATGATTCCTATTCTATCATAATCTGAATGGTTGTGTTGTGAACTGACATATTCTGCAAGATGTGAAATGGTTTGAATGTGTGATCCAACGATGGGGTATCTTTTACAAGCTTTTCTTGTTTAGAACATGTAACGACTTTCCAACAATGTGAATTCTTACAGCAATCTTTGTCAGATTTACAGAGTTTCTTAGCATTATGTTGAGAACTTCTCTTTGACAAGGATCAAGAAAGTAGCTTGATGGAGTTAATTGTTCTCGGGAACATTTAAACTAACATTTATGTACTCATGTCTCAACATGTTCTACTGGTTCTTTTTATTTGCATTGTGAAGAAGATAGGTTTGCATCTTGCCGGTATTACTTGGATCTTATTCTTTGGTCATTCTTAAGACCTCGATACCCTTTGGTAGGTTTGGGAAAATAGATCAATTGATCACCTCTTTGTTTGATCCTCATTTCAATGTGACTAGAACAAGGGGTTGCATATGAATTCTTTGTTTGTTTTGTCTCTGCTTGTAACCTTTCATCGATTGATTGAGATTAGGCACCTACAAATGCTTACATATGAAATGTATTTGGAAAGTCGAAACATGATATGCTAAGATTTGTTGAAGCTTGCCTTTTCTTTGAGGCAGTGCATGACAAGGGCAGCAACAAAGGCACTTTATTCTGTGGCTTGCCCAGTATATGTCGATATGGACATTTGTTGCTTTTGAACATAGGAGGCAGCTTTTTTGTCTTTTAAGGTTTATCAGAGCCAATCCACACTCAAATTATGTTCATGTCATTTGTTGCTTTTGGACACAAGCTTTGTGTGTGTGTGTGTGTCTCTCTCTCTCTCTCTTGTCATCCTTGGGTGACAGCTGAACCCACAGCTCAGCTCCTCTGTCATCTCATCTGAAGTGCACTTCACATCCACCTTGATTCGGAGATAAAACCACATTATTCGAAGGACAAGGAGTAGAAGCTACTCCTTGCTTCTTCCACCTCAAGCCAATACTTGAATCCAATACTTGCCTCGCAACATCATCAGAGATCCATCCATGGACTGGTTGGTGCCAAAGTGACAATCTAGTTGAAGGCCAAAAAGAGCATTCTTCCCACATAAGTCATGATAAAGAAGAGTCTAATAGTCTACAATACATACACTAGATTTAAATGGCTTTCTCTGACCCAACACCATTGTGCAAATGATCTTGTCATCAACCATGTCGCCTGTTCCATATTCTGAGTCCGGTTCGGCCATGTCTGAGGCCGTGATTGGGGTTGGGTGGGGTGGTGGGTGGATGGTGAGGAAAGATGGTGGTGGTCGTGGTCGTGGTGGTGGGTTATACATACCAATCAAAACCAGCCTTTGAAAGCCGCATTCCTTCTCATCTTTAGCGTTCGTATGTGTACGTATCACCGGTTCGGCCATCGCACATCCACATCAGGAAACCGCACGGCGTTCCCCCACAATGCCACCAACAGCGGTGGGAAGCGGCTCTCTTCTCTTCCACACACACAGTGTTATAGGGCCTATATAGACCTCTCTCCTCGACTCCTGCAGATGATGCCAAAGCCCTCATCACCTTCTCTCTTCGCCGACGGGAATCCCATCCCAATCGCTGACTCCCTCGCCCTTTGTTTCAGGTATATTTAATCCCTTATGAGTTGATTAGGATGATTCTTGTGGTGTGTGACCAAAACATCTGATCTTGAATGAGGCACCGAAGAAAATTTCATTGCCGAGGGTCATTTGATCGCTCTGCGTCTGTTTGTGTGCGTGCCCAAAGCTTTGGTCGTCACGGATTTCTGTGTGATCTAAGCAAAATGCTCGTGATTCGTGCACGGGGTACGTACGCCGGCTGTAGAAACAATAGGCATCCACCACGTGACCGGTGTGAGAACATTGCAACTTTTCCCTTCCTTAGGCTCTTTCCTCCGCTTGCAGAGGGTAATCATCATCTATCTACAGTGAGTTAGTACATCAATCTTACAATCTTAAGGACGAGGGAGAAAGGAATAGCCGCTGTTTATGCCCATGCTTTAGCCCTCCTTTGGAATCCAATGAACTCCCTAATGGCTCTTTAGATGTGTCATACAAGATGCCAATGCTGCAGCTTAAAATTAGGGTATCATATCATTCCTGTCTTTTTCTGTTCTTCATTGTGGTGATGGTGTATCGCCATCATTTCTTCTGTGTCAGAAGAAGAAAGAAGATCACATTCTTTTGTATCTACTTGTCCATGGATAATGGATGGACCATTGCCATCGGCAGGTTGGGAATATATGCAAACAGCTTTCGCTTTACATGTGACATGTGGTCATTTTCAATGCAAGAAACAAAATTCTCGTGGGTAGGAATTACAACCCAAACAAAAGGAGAAAAAGAAAGCTTGAAGTAGATAGCTATTATGTCGAGAATTTGCAGATTATATTGTTTGATTGTAGGCATACACTGGATTGCTGTATGAGTTTGCATGTGAGCTACAAGCTAAAAGGTCACGCTCGCAAGGACCAAATTAGAGGTACACCTTGGTCTGCATGGATTGTCTGGTGACCTGCATCTTCATTCTTCGATTCATGTCTCTGTTGGTACGTATGAATTCACCTGTGAGGGATGATTGCTGGACTAAATGGTGTGTTCTCCTTTAGTGGATGAGCTTTTGTATGCAGGTCTTTGTGTTTTTGTTGCTTGTGATGGAAATGTAGTCGGGAATGAGAAAACAAATGCGACTGGTTAAAGGTAAATTTAGTGGTACATGCATCTTGTGATAAGAATATTTGAGGAAGAAGGTTTTCATCTTATGGTTGTACTGATTTTTGTAGCTGTTTTTTGTTTTGAGTAGAACAAAAATTTGTGTTGTGTGCTTCCACTGTCTCAAGTGTTACCTGTTCTTTGGAGGCTTTGATCGAGTACAAGCATTAGGTAGATATGAACAAGGGTGGCCAAACTCTGCCAGACCCCACCTGGTAGGTGAGTGGGAATTAGCCTTGCAACTTCCACTTCTCTCTAATATGGTTATGGTGATGATGATGATGATATATTATTACATGGAAGGTCAAGCAGAAAAAAATAAATTGGTGGCATTATAATACTAGACATTCTAATTAGCATGGATGAAAATAGGTTTTGAAGTAGTATAGATGCAGAAGCCAAAGTCTCTGAAGTAGTCTATAGATGCTGCAGGTGGATACATCCATCAATTATGCTTGTGCTGATCCATTGTTGGGTGGTGTAGCTTTTTGTCTCACATTGTTTGATATATGGTGGGTGTATGATGGGACTTCAGGGGGCATCTAGTTCATTTCAAACAATGGTGGGGTGGTTGGAAATCATAAGAGGGTCCCTGTGATTCTTGTCTCATGTAATTGTTAGATGTTTTGATGCACACAGCAATCTGGGTAGAGTAAAAATCTTTAGGTCTATTTGCCTTCTTATCTTGGATCATTCATGGGACTGTCAAGGATATGTACCAGGGACAGTCCATTCTGTGGCAGCTGCTGGTTCTCTCTTGAGGAGACCAGAGGCTATTGGTCATTATAACATATTGTAATACTGACATGATAGCAAAACCTAATTGTCAAATTACTGGTTTGAATCTTTTGGAAGGTCTGTAGTCAACAGGATTCAGAGAGAAACAAAAAGATGTGCTCTAATCCTAAGTCAAAGCCTAATTGTCAAATTGCTGGTTTGAATCTTTTGGAAGTTCTGTCGTTAACAGGATTCAGAGAGAAACAAAAAGATGTGCTTTAATCCTAAGTTTGATAGTTTGTAGTAATTCTAAGAATTACTGCATCCTTTCCATTAATTTTCTATCAGTGTTGATAGATTTTTTCTTGAACCATTTTAGAGAACAAGAATTATATCCTCACAATGGTATTGTTGGAGCACGAGAGAAGGAGCAAAAGGAAGTTTCCATAGTCCAGACAAGTAATCTCATCATAAAAGTAGGTTCAGCTCTAAGTTGTTACCACATGGTCCAAAAGAATGTTCCAATCATCCTTTGGTTCTTAATTTGATGGATGAGAATCCAAAGTTTCTTTTTATTTTCTATATTGCTGCTGGGAATCTTTTTCAGGTTTAGATGAATAAAGAAAACCTTTACAGCATGCAATCATTTTTTATAATTGGAGGTTGTCATGGTATCTGATTCCTGATATGTCCAGGATGAACTGTGACCCCCTTCTTTGGCCACTCCCAGGTAGTTCTACTTGTGACATTTTCTCGAAGAGCATGTGATATGCAAAGTTATCTTTGTGATTTCTCTTATGAAAGTTATGATAAACACATTTTGTTGCACTCTACTAGATCTTCCTTCTTCTTCCTCAAAGAACAGAAAGAAAATATATTCTACTGCTGTATTTGACATCTCTTATCGACTTGATTTAGAAGCCTTGTCTGTGTTCCGTTAGTCTTTGTGTCAAATTTGCTGCTCTTTGAACATTTATATGATAGTAGATTTACTGATGAGAACTCCATTTGGTGCTTATAATTTTCTTTCCTAGTTGTCAATACATTTTATCATCTGTGACTGCACTGACCTCTGTATGCAATACATAGATCTGAAGCCTTAGAACACCCGATACTCAGGAAACTAAATCCAAACTTTGAGCTGTGCAGACCAACCTAATGGACACAATTCTATCATATATATGATTTGCAGCAATCATTTTCCTGACATTTAATGCCCATATATAGCTTACCTACCAGCAAGAAGCTTATTAATTGTGGTGTAATCAGCTGTGCAAACACTAGTCATCTTCCAAGCACACAGCAGTCCTTGGATCATGGTCAACCTCCCAAACATCAGCTAATGATTTGCCTTTGATTACAAGTTCTGTACTTCTAAGAATTCTTACATTTTGGCTGTCACTTGATCTAAGCTGACATTAACTGCTTTGTCTGGTTGTCATGTCTCATATTCTACACAGAAATCAAAAAGCAGCGGCTGTAACATCTACTACAGTCAACTGTTTAGGCACTGGCTTCTTTTTCCACATGAGCCCCACTCCATTTCACACCTTTCACCACCCTCTCTAGTCTGTACCACCTGCTCTTCTCTCTTCTGCTGCCATGGTGAGGAAGATCTGATGAATTCTCTTCTCTTGACCACCTGTCTCAACAACCAGGAACCTTGAACCAGGCCTTCATCCAAGGAGAGCCATGAAGCAAGATCTACCTGCTGCTGATAACAAGACCTCCTCGCCGGTCCTGCCTGCAGCTCGAGCCAGAACTCCCAGAATGAAGGAGACTCCAAGAGTGGATTCAGCAAATGGGGGCTCGCCAGGGTTGAAGGCGAGGCCAAAGCCTGCTTCTGTGGATGCAAGCGGCACCAACGTGGCTAGGAAATCCATCTTATTCAACAAGCTGAGGCCAGCCATCAATGGCGTTGGGGATCCAAAAGAAAGGAACCGTGAGGAAGCAAAGGTCGTTGGAAGCCACGATGTCGAGCAGTATGCTCGGTTGCGGAGGAGGGCAGATACAAGTTGCAGGGGATCCGAAGATGGAGCCAGTACAAAGATGAGAGAGTTGCAGACCAGACTTGATGAGAGTGAGAGACTGTTAAGGGATTCGCAGTCTGAGGTGTTGGCACTGAGAGCTCAGATAGAGAAGCTGCAGGTCTTAAATGTTGAATTGGAGTCACAGAAAAAGAAGCTGGAGGAAAGTCTCTCTGCTGCTGAAGCAAAGATCAAAGTTCTAGAGAAGCATGATCAGGTACATATATCTTTATTCCTTTCACATGCTAGGTAAGATCAAATTTGGCTAGAATAATCTTTAATCTTCCTTTGCATTCTCAGTTAATGCTGGGTCAAATTTGTTCAGCTTTGGAGTAGAATTACTGTAACCTAATGCCTATGGTGATTCTGGTATTATATGGATTAAATTTCCACAATTAAGGAAATCAAACATGAGGGCAAGCATTCATACCTGATTTATGTAGAAAACTCAAAGAGGCCTAGCTCCTAAATTCTTCGGTTTTCCTGCTGTATGACACACTTCAAAGTTGGTTAAGTTGCCTGAGAAGAATGACCTTGTGTTACCTATGGAGGATGATGTTTTCCTTGTGATCCTCTCCAATTTTGTTAAAATTGAGAAAACTAGATCATTGACTTGCTCCCTTTCTTAAAAATAATTGCAGGTGGAATCAGTCATCAAGTCTGGATTTAGTAATGTGATGGAGGTTGTTCAGAAGAAGTCACAGAATGTTAAAGATAAAATTCAGTTTTCAGTACTGAAACCTCCCACCAAAGCTGTAGGGGTCCAATCAAAAGCTCTGGTCAAGAAGCCTGTTCCACCATTGCCAACTTCTCAAGCCCCCATTGCTGGGCCACCTCCACCACCCCCTCCACCTCCTCATGCTGCAGGAAGATCAAATGCAATGCATAAGCCTTCTGCATTAGTTGAATTGTACCATTCATTAAGCAAGCGAGACGGAAAGCAAGGCTCTATGGTTAATGGGGGTGCCAGTCCTCTTTCAAACAATGCACGTAACAGCATTGTCGGGGAACTTCAAAGTCGATCGTCTCATTTATTAGCGGTAAATTTTCCCTTTTTTTTCTTCTCCCGAAGAGAACACTGGCAACTATTGGAATATCATGTGTTAATTTTGATGCTTCCTGTTTATGCTTGTCATGCCTTTCTGTTTTCTCCTATAGATTAAATCGGATGTGGAAACAAAAGGGCACCTCATCAAACATCTTATGGAGAAGGTGCTATCAGCATCTTTCAGTAATATGGAAGATGCCCTGAATTTTGTTGACTGGCTTGATGGAGAGCTCTCCACCTTGGTAAGGCTTGTATACAAATTGGTGATTGTGACACTTAAACTGAAGGGTAAAATTCCTGTGTACTTTATGATATAAAGGAGATGTCAATGCATTGTCTGACACATTTTAGGTTTAGCTGAGTATATATATTCAAAAGGCTGCTCTGCTGATCTTCTTCACTCATTCTCACATTAAGCTGAATATACCAACAGGCATTGTATTCTTAAATCTTATATTTTGTTGTTTAGGCATTCTTTATGATTTTTGGATTCATTGTCACTGCATCTTGTATATGCTTTATATGGTTCCATTTTGATCTGATGTGCAGGCTGACGAGAGCGCTGTTCTGAAGCATTTTGACTGGCCCGAAAGGAAAGCTGATGCACTGCGTGAAGCTGCATTTGAATTCCGTGATCTTAAGCGGATAGAAGCTGAAGCTGCTTCTTTTAAGGATGACACCTCCTTACCATGTGAGGCCACACTAAAAAGGATATCGAACTTGCTAGATAAGTGAGTCAAAATTCATTCCCTTTTCTCTACTTGGATTTGAAGTATTTATTGGTTTGTGTCCAACATATTTCTTCCATGTATCCATGATAATGCTGAAGGTTGGAGAGAAGCGTGGGTAGATTGATTAAGCTGAGGACTGCAAGTATGCTTTTATATAGGGATTGCAGAATTCCGACTGATTGGATGCTCGATTCTGGGATGATTAGCAAGGTACTATTTATGTTCCTTCTGATCTCAAGTAAACATATGTATGTGATGATACACTGATGCCTGTGTCTATAATATGCATTTTCTCTAATGGAGTGAACAATTCAACGACTATACGTACAAATGCTAGTTCAGATTTTTCTTTTATATATACTCAGAATTTCACCAGCTTGAAATCATTACTTGGATGAGTAATTCTTCCTATTGTAACTTTCTTATGTCTATAAATTTGCTATAACGTTTTCCTATCAATGCTATGAGAGTTTCTAAGAGACTAGAAGCCTTTACCGAGAGGCAGTATTCAGTGTGCAATTTGTTGCAGATGAAGCAGGTTTCTGTGAAGCTTGCAAAAGTTTACATGAGGAGGGTGTCGATGGAGCTTGAATCAGTTTGGCATTCAGAAAGGGAGTCAGCACAAGAGGCACTTTTATACGAGGGGGTGCGTTTTGCTTACAGAGCACACCAGGCAAGTCATCAGACTTGATCTCCATAATTATCCTTCTCACTGATAACAGAGCTCTAAAATCTTTCAATTGTAGGCCCTTAGTTTGGTTAAGTATGCTTCTAAGTTTCTACTAGGATTTATGAGACTGACGCATTTACATAACCGATTCGTTCGAACAGAAAGGGGCAAGACATTACATAAAGAAAACAGTTCACTATAACCTAATCTGTTGTTAAAGTACAATAATAATGGATGTGAAGGCCTCAGTTCTTCTCTATGGTTGAATCAAAAGCCTTGGTGATACAGACCTTGATCTTTCAGTGCAGCCACATACTCTCTGAGCCTGCTTAACATAATTCTGGTCTTTGCTTGGCAGTTTGCAGGAGGGCTTGATTCCGAAACTATGTTCATCTTTGAGGAGTTAAAAACGCGGGTCGAATCGCAATGCAGAGGACAGTAGAGCAACTTCATAGTATTACTTACAGTCAGGATGTTAAAGCTGGTAGCCAAGGTGGAACCAGGTTCAACATCATGTAACTGTTGGATTGAGGTCAATCCTCTCAGAATAAGGTTTATATAGTAGTGATCCAACTTAACTGAGAACATCTTGCTGCACATCCCATCTCAACTAAAGTTTATGGCATGCTCCCTCACAATTGACCCAAAGATGACTCCAGAAGTGTTATTGAGTCTTCTCAAGCTATGGACAGAACAAACACAATGTAATTGACTGCACACATGGATGAGCTTTTCACAGTGTATTTTCCATATGTATATTAGTTTCTCAGCTTTGTGGAATCTGTGAACTTCTTCTTGCTGATGTATTGTTCACCCTCCTATCCATGTTTGTCATGTCACAATGTTTGTGATCCACTTGTCATTGAACTGCTGTTGTCTGCACCAGTCTCCTGCAACCATGATTAGAGAGAGAATGTGTGTTGCACTGTGGCAACAACTAGATTCTCATCTGTGCTTTAACCTGTCAGTTGTCACAAGCAGTGTACCATGAATGGCAAGATCTTTCAGCATGTTAGATTGTCGATGGCTGCTCCCACCATCTTGCCCCTCTCTCTATCCTTCCTTGGCTGCGTGCAACCACATGCTCCCACAGGGGTTGACCAGGTTAACAGCAGAACACGGTTGAAGAAGAAGAAGAAGTGGAGCTTGATGAGTTGGTAAGTGTCATGAGGTGGCCATCCAATGCCTTCTTTTGTGCCTTTCCCAGCTTAATTTACTCGACATTGACTCTTGGTGATGTCATAACCGTGGTTTGTGCAGGAGATTGAGTTGACCAACCTACAGCCGCCGTGGGTTTGTCACAGTTGCTTCCCCCACCTCCGTTTCCGATCTCAGCACAGTGTATTCTCTTTCATCTATCGTCTAATTTAGGGGGTTTGTCGGCAATCGTAGTGCAGGTCGCCATCGAGGGGGGGGAAGCATTTGCGTGCTGAAGCGTGCGCCCGTCTTGGCGTAAGATCCGAGCCGTTCATTCATATTTTCCATCACGTGCAACACGTGCTACTATGGCCCCACCATCGAGTCAACGCATATCCCGAAAACCTAACCCGCCTCCGCTATCCATTGACTACGCCGTCCACCGAAACCAAACCCGGTTTTTTTAGGCTGGCACTTGAGCTTATTATATCGAACCCAACCGCTTCGATTCCGAGACGAGTCGAGTCGGGACCCAGACTCCCCTTGACCGAGTCGTGACTCGCCCCGTCTCCTGGTGGCGAAGACGAGCGATGGCTTCCTCCGCCACCGAGGGCGGGGAGGACCCCCACGACCGAGCGGCGGTGCTACAGGAATCCGTCGGTGGAAAGCGGCGGAGGGCTCCGTGTTCCCCTCCTCCCCCGGCGCCACCTGGCGCCGGGTGCGAAGAGTCGTCGCGGCGGGTGTTCCAGAAGCTGTGGACTGACGCGGACGAGATCGCGGTGCTGCAGGGGTTCTGGGAGTTCACGTCGCGGCGGGGGACGGCGCGCGCGGACTACCAGCACGACACGGGGCCCTTCTACGACGAGATCCGCGGCCGCCTCGGCTTCGACTTCAGCCGGAGCCAGCTCGTGGAGAAGCTCCGCCGCCTCAAGAAGAAGTACCGCAACACGGCGGGCCGGATGGCCGCCGATCGGGGCTTCGTCTTCCGCAGCCCCCACGAGAGGGCCGCCTTCGAGATCGCACGCAAAATCTGGAACCCTGTCTTCGCGCGCGGCCCCGACGGTCAAAGCTGCGATCCTGACGGGGTCGAGGCCTCCAAAGATGGCGGCTGGGACTCGGACCACGATTCCGGTCCGAGGCCTCGTAGGCGCCTCAAGAAGGGTAAGGAAACGGAAGCGGTGGCAACGCCGTCGGAGATGATCACCGCCGCGGCGAATCGTCCCGACCCCGTGGTGGCGCCTCCATCCATGCCGAACTCCGAAATGGCGGAGCAGAGCATGAGGAGCTGCTTCTCGCCACTGTTCGACGAGATACTCCGTTGCACAGGGATCGGCCATGGAGTGACAGCACTGAGCTCAAGGACACCAGCGGCCGCGGTGGGCGAGAGATGGAAGCAGCAGCAGATTCTAGAGCTGGAGGTGTACCTGAAGAGGCTGGAGCTTATCCATGACCACATCAAGTCGAAGCTGGAGGAGCTCAAGTCAGAGAGCAGCAGCTAAAACTAGAGGTCTTCTTGTTGTATCTTGTTTCAGCTCTAGTCAACCAAAGCACTGGAAGCAAACTTGTTCTTCTTCTTCTTCCTCCTCCTCCCTGTTCATACTCATCAAGGTCAGTTTCTTCAGCAGTCGAAAATATTACATGAAGAAGGGATGAATCTGAGCAAACAAAAAGGACAAGTAATAACTTGTAGCTTGTATGATACATTGATCCCAAGTTTGTTTGACTAGCTGCGTGATCCATGGTTCGATTGTCTGGTTAGATTGGGTACAGCTCTCTCTTCTCCTTGGAGGATCTAGGATGCTTGTTGATAAGATAAGCTGGTTTTGGTGGGGGCAAACATTGTGTCCTAAGTTTGGTCTCACATGACAACAAGCAACACAAAACTTCAAACAGGTAGTTGTGGTGGATCACTACACTTTGCGACGTGACATCTATCTTCCTGAACAGTAATCGAACTGGAACATGCAGAATCTGCACATCACATTTGGCCCTCTCAGTCTTTATTCTTGCCAGAAAATGAATCATCTGTCATGAGTCGTTTCTTTGGTTTCCAGATGTTAGTCTTCCTTCTCTTTCAGGAACAGGTCAGGTGGTGATCTATCTACCTGCTGCTTCCATCCCATCTCTTCCCTCGTGTAGTCCAATGAGATATGCTTCACCGCAGCGTTGCCTCCAGATTAAGTGGTTTGCTCAGTGAGTGCAACCCATGTTAAGTGTGATGTTAACTCATATTTTGATTGTCGAACTCGAACTCAATCCATTGGCCTATAGGAAAAACGAGAGATTCGATAAATAATCATGTAAAAATTACGTCGGGATATTTTCGACAAAAAAGTTTCTTCTTGCTTGTAAATGAGTATAAATTCAAAGAATTCGGATATAGGAACTTTTATAGTGAGTCAAGGGTGGGTTTGTTCAATCGAAGTAGGGGGTTAATCTATAGGATAGGAGGATCATATGAAATTATCAACCCAATAAAAATATAGTGAGACATTCATGATGTGTTGTTTGATTACTTACCTCTCATCATATCATATGACAATGTATAGCAGCAACAGGCACATGTTCTTGAATGATGGATAAGGAAGATGATAAAGAAATCCATGTAAAGAACATGTTGTTAGCTATTAAAACATTGCAATGGAAATTTTATTCGTGACATGAATAAAAGAACAAATTCCTCTTTTTCTTTCTCATCTTAGGAATGTATTGATGTCGCAGATGACCAAGCAATAATATCAAAGAGCGATATGTATATTAAAATATATTAATTTTTTGGATTGAATTAGTACTCGATCTCATATGCGTTGCTTTTCATCTTTAATTAAGATTTACAAGACAACAAATCCATACATGAATAAATGAAGATGAAGAGTTTCGAAAGGAATGATTTTATATTAATAATTATTTAAAAATAAATTACGATTTTTTTAACTTAAAATATTTTGAATTTGTGTTCGTGTGTATTATCTTAATCGATCTAACTCAAATTTATGGATTTTAAGGAAGCGTCCATTACCACTTAAATCTCTTTGTCCGGTTGGATGGATCGATAATAATTATGCATGTGGAATAACAATTGATATGTTATCTAATTATTTAAATATCTGAATTAATTTCAAGCACCTGTTTTTTCTTATTGTACAAGACTAAGATTAACTTATAAGGATCTGATGAGTATATTATTATTAATTTTAATTTAAATATTTTGAATAAGCGATTCACACTAAACTTCACGTAATTAATAGCTCAATTATCTTATCCTATCAAGCCGAGCAATAATTAGTATTTCGTAAGTCAAACCCAATATATATAATTCGAGTACCTTAATATTTAATAAATATAAATATATTTTAATTTTAATTTTAATCTTTATCACATACATAATATTCTCTTAACATTTCTCCTTAGCACTTTCTTTGGCTCAATTATTATTTTATTTAATTTTGACTCTAATACAAATCGATCAAAATTAATACATGTCAAATGTCAAATTCCATATCAATTCAATTCAATATTTTAAGCTTATTATATCGTAGGTTAAACCTAATGTATATGATTAATATTCTAAGAACAACGCGTGGGAGAGAGAGAGAGAGAGAGAGAGAGAGAGTGGCGTGTCAAACTGATTGCGAAAGACCGAACAAATTCCATGACCCATTGGGTGCAATGCCATCATCCCCTTTCCTGGCTGGCCTCTGCAAGACTCCGATTCGGCGGTCAACGGGTGCTTGGAGCTTGTGAAAGGAACCACCCAAGCTTCGGAATCACGTGCAATTCCCGTCATAAATCTTCGAGGAACACACCGCCCTCGTCCCATTTCCACAAAGCAGGCGTCGGTCATGCACAGTGGCATCTTCCGATGGTAGCAATCTCCTCCCATTGGGTCGGAAGCAACGAGGGAGCTTCCCTTCTCCACGTATAAATTCCAACCTCCGCTGGCAGTAACACAGCAAGCAAACAACATCTCCTCCTTGTGTCTCGATCTCGAGAGAGAGAGAAGTGGTGTTTAGCATGGGAGGAGGAAGCAAATCCTTGATCACCTTCCTCGGCTTCAAGGGGGCTGCAAGCCGTTCCCGGAAGAGTCACGAGGCTGAGCCGAAACCGACGCAGGATTCCAGAAGGAGCTACTGATAGAAATAATAGAAGATAAGAACAATATAATATAAGAAGCTTTATTGAAGTAGATAAACTTTAGTTTGAATACATTAACATGTTCCTCTCCTGATTAAGAGGAAGGATTTTCCTCAACAGAATAGAGGATTTTCCTCAACAGAATAGATAAGATTTCCTTATATAGTGGGGAAATCTGATCTTCTATCATGCCCCCGCAAGATGGAAGATGGTGCTCCTGACAAGGATACCAATCTTGGATCGGTAAGAAAGAGGCTTCGTGAAGATCGCTGCTGCTGTTGCTGCGATTGCTGTTGCTGTGATGGCACAAGCGTTCCCTTCATTCTTCTTAAGTCTGTCGAATGTTGACAGATCAGCGAAGACTACCGCGACGAGGAAGATGAGGATTGACCACGGAGCCTCTTAGGAATGCAACGGCGTTGGTCGCTGGCCGAAGGGTGAAGCTTCACTTTTCTCAGCGACATTGGTCACTTGCCGAAGGCAAGAGCGAAGCTTCGCTTTTCTCAACGACGTTGGTCGTGGTTGCGATTACGACGGCTGCGACGGTAGAGAAGAAATCTACAACAATGTTGCAGTGATGCTACTACAGCAAAGGAGGAAACTGCAACAGAGGAGGAAGCTGTAGTAGAAGAGGAAACTGTAGCAGAAGAGAAAGGAAAATAGCTACAACGACGAAGAAAGGTGGGGCAGTGCTCATGAGCAGCACTAGAGATGCCGTAGCGGAAGGGAACGGACGTTGGCGCAGAGTGGCAACACCAATGATGAATTGGCAGCGAGAAGAGAGCTTGCTCTAGGCAAGCGGCTCTGATACCATGATAGAAATAATAGAAGATAAGAACAATATAATATATTCCTCTCCTATTTATAGGATTAAGAGGAAGGATTTTCCTCAACAGAAAAGAGGATTTTCCTCAACAGAATAGATAAGATTTCCTTATATAGTGGGGAAATCTGATCTTCTATCAGCTACGAGGCAGACGCAGAAGCAAAGCAGCCGCGGACGAAGGTTCGCCGGAGCGACGACGACCTCGGTGGCTCTTGGATTGCGGAGCCTGACATAGACAGGAAAGCGGAAGAGTTCATCGTCAGGGTCCACCGCCGGATGAACCCGGAGCTGCACCTGGTCGCGGTGTAACCCTCCATAACGTTGTCTCTTCTCCGAGATCTATCTATTACGTACAAGAACCTGGTTCAATAGCAACAATGAAATCGACTAGTTCTCAGTTTGTAGAACTTATAGGGATAATTATACCCATATTTTCTTCCAAAATAATGATAATAAAGAGAAATGTGTTCATATTTATCTGTCCATAGCCTAAAGAGGAAGAAAGAAAGTAGTCTACCTTGAATGATTCCTCCTCGGCAAGGTGTGAAGAAGAGTGAGTTCTTGCTGAGGAGATGAGACCTCCAAACCCTGCGCAAGTACGGAGATTTAGCTGAGCCCAAATTACGTGGAAGTTCCCAAAACCAGCTGATATATCTTCCGTACGTACGTACGCCAAGACCAAATCCTGTGGTCTCGCAAATCAAAGTGCAGTAGTAGCATGCATGGCCTGGCATGATCACCGCCGATTCATGGGGAGGTGACGCCGTGCTGCTACGTAATGATGCAGCCGACGAGAACGAAGTACTAAGAAATTTGGGGTGACATGACACCTGACTTCCACGTGAAGTCTCACCGCCGGCGTCTTTCTCCCTCGACGAGCACTAATTACAGGAAAGAGCAATGCTTTCCGTTACCTGTTCTTGCTTACCCGCAAAGCTACCTACAACTGCATTGGATTAGGCTCGGGTGGGACGCGTTATTCAATAAATAGCGGGAGCGGAGCGCCCTGCGGTTCATGTCGGGCTCCGTGGTAACCCACGGGCATTCGACGGGGGAGGGCTTAAGCCTCGAGCGCCCTCGTGCTGTCGCCGTGGCTCATGGGCGTGTCTGCGTCTGCCTTGGTTACCGGAAGCCTCCAAAAGCGTTGAGGACCGGCGCGCGTGCGCGACGAGACCACGTACGGACACGGATCTCCTTCCGTCCCTTCTGCTCTCTGTTTCGGTCGGGCATGAAGAGGAGGGTGCGCCGCTCGTGGTAGCTCAGGAATTAAGGATTTCAGGCGCCCGGCTTACCTATCGAGGGAGGAGGAAGCACCAAAATTGGTGGGAAATAAAGTCGGTTTTACGAGCCAAAATTTACTGAAAGGTGCATTCTTTCTCTGCCTCTTACATTGCTCTCTGTTGCATTCTTGCTAGAGAACAAGGAGTGTTTTGGGGAAGGCGCGAGCCCCCTCTTGTTTGATTTCTGCTCCCCTGCTTTGCTTCAGTGTTGAGCATCTGTATCTTCTCTGGACTCGAAAATTTCTTGGACCTTTGTGCTCCAGTCGGCCGCAGTTGTCTCCACCGCGCACAAGACGGCGGTGGTAGGTCATTGTTTGGTTCGTTCCCTCTGCCCACGGGATCGTCTCTCGAGCTTCTGATCTTTGACCTCACTTTCTCCTCGTAGATGACGCATGACTTTGCCTGTGTCCTCATATGGGGAATAGTTCTCGAGCTTTAAACTCTTCTTTCCGTTCCTCTTGCTCTCGTTGCACGAAGCATTCCTTTCGTTGAGTTCTGTTGCCGACGTAGTCCGAGGCGCACCGCCGACCTTTCTTTTAAAGAAAGGCGTGTCCTTTGCCGAGCGACAGGGCTAAGGGCTTGCGAGCTTCGAAAAAGATGTCGTCGTCCGGGCCTGAACAATCTGGCACAGCGTCAGGATAAGGACTCAGACCACCGTGGACGCGAAACTCGCAGCAGACTTCGAAATGCTTGGTGAATCCTTCGATTACTCGCAATCGGTTTATGCGCTCCGAGCGCCCGCCGCGAACCGGGGGACGTCCGACGATGTCATAGCCTACTGATAGAAATGAAATAGAAAAAAAAAGTTTTATTAAATAAATTTTATTGAAGAAGCTTTAGCTTGAATATATTAATATGTCGTCCTCCTATTTATACAGATTATGAGGAAGAATAGAGAAATTTCCTTATATAGTTGACGCAGAGGGGCGACAGTAAAGAATGACATCGACGCAGGGAGAAGAGGGCACGACGTGATGGCCCTTGTTCAGCTTCGAAGGAGGCCGACGCAACGATCCTAGAGGACGTTCGTGAAAAACATTGTACTACTTTGAGATAGAGTCGCGGTCCGCGAAACAATAGGAGAAGGAGCCGAGATTCGAAGGAGTCCGACAACGATGAAAGTTGATTGTAACACTTGATGCATTCCAATATTATCATAATATATTATAAAGTAAGGGTGAAATTAATGTTATTCATGGAGCATTCTACGGTAGTAATGATGATAATATGATATTAAACTTTAATTATAGATTTTATAATTATATTTTGCTTCTTAGGATTAGCTTCAACTAAAATAACACTCTACAGTAATAAGTTATTCATTACAACATCCCCGTCGGGTATACTTATCGATGAGAAGTATGCAACAAAGGCGCCGGTGAGTAGCTGAACCGGTGCCGGGTGGTGGGCTTGAAAGGTGCGGGCGTTGGTCGGGGTAACAACGAGGATGGGGGGGGGGGATTCCTTGATGCCGTACTGGAGACGCTGCTCCTGCTGCACGCGGCTTCTCGTGGGCCCGCACCACCTCGACAGAGTCCGGGTGCTGCAAGGGACGCACGCGTAAGCCGAGACGGCCGGCGACGACGCAGCTAGAAGCAGCGGTGGTGGGAGGAGGGGGAGGGAGTATAGTGGCTGAGGGTTGACTTCGCACTTGCCACCGTTCTCCTCAAAAGCTGCACGGAGGCGGCCAATGAGGGCGTAAGGGAGTGCTTCTCTGCTGAAGGAAGAGCCTCGAGAGATAAGGGAAGAGGTGGCAGTAGAAGTCGCCTTGTCCAAGCGACCAGGACCAGTAGCGGAAGCTGTTTTCTCCGGGAGGGGACCCCTCGCCTGGGCTTTCGGTGGGAGGTACTCCGTCTTTGTCCCTGCACACAGTTCGGATCGGGAGAGCTCGGTCCGACCCCTCCGACGATCAAGTCAGTCAATAGTCTTTGGAGGTTTTTCTTATTTTATCGCCCTCCCTCTTTATTCCGAATGCGAGGGTTTTTATAGGGAAGGTCATCGTTTCCTGATGTGCCCGCTTGCAGGGAGCAGGGTCGTACCTTGGATAACGTCTGACACCGGCACGCACTGTCAGGTCAGACCGAGGCAGGCGACCCCCGCAACTCCTCGATCTAGGTGACCTAGAAGACGTCACCCGGGAGCAGGTGACGTTAGTTCGTATCCCATCGTTATTATTACCCTCATCAAAGCCACCTCGTCTAGGCGACCGGGACCGATGATTCGTCTGTGAAGAGGAAGGTACGGCAGCAGGCATGCCGGCGACAAGGTGGATGGGGAGTATCTCGTTGATACACTCCTCGTCGGCCTCTCAATCGTGATGTTGTCGGGCTGTTGGCGCTGATAAAAGATGAGTTAGCTGTCGCTGGACAACGAGGAAGGGAAGAGAAATCTGCTATCAGTTTGATGGTGGACTTCGAACCCATTAAGCCAAGTGAGGTACCCACGACTGCCACCGGTGCTCTGCAGTCTTACAAGCTCACGGCCAAGCCTACAGCCAAGCTTAAATCTCTGCCCGGTGGGAGCATGCGGCGGCTGTGCAATACGGTGGTAGAAGAGGTATTTGAGCTCACAGGGTACGACAGAGTCATGGTTTACAGGTTCCATGACGATGACCATGGCGAGGTCCTTGCTGAGATCACAAAGCGAGGCCTGGATCCTTATCCCGGGCTACGTTATCCGGCTACGGACGTTCCCCAGGCTGCTAGGTTTCTTTTCATGAAAGCTAAGGTGCGAATAATCTGCGATTGCCTTGCCGAACCGGTCAAGATTTACCACGACGAGAAGCTCCAATTGACATTACCTTGTGCGGTTCTACCCTCAGAGCATCACATGGTTGTCCCTTGCAATATATGGAGACAATGAACTCCATTTCCTCACTGGTTCTGGCTGTGGTGGTGAATGGAAGTGGCAAGGAGGATGATGACGATGCTGAGCCAGGGCGGCGGAACAGGCTTTGGGGGCTCGTCGTATGCCATAACCAGAGCCCGAGGTTTGTTCCTTTCCCCTTGAGATATGCGTGCTAGTTTTTGATGCTAGTGTTTGCCATCTGTGTCAGCAAGGAGTGTGAATCGGAGAACCTTGTGCACGAAAACTACAACACATAGTGCGGACTCGGACACTCGTCTGCGATTTGCTGCTCCAGAAAACTTCTCTGGTGGGCATAGGAACTCAAGAGTCCCAGTATCATGGATCTAGTGAAATGTGATGGTGTTGCACTTCTTTACCGGTGGATTCATGAATGAAGTTATATATGGTGACAGTCTTAGGCTTCAACGAATACTCGCTGATTTCTTGCTTGCGTCTGTGGAGTCCTGGTGAGGTTGGACACTAACTACAGCTTCTCACTCCCAAGTAAAGCTGAGAATAGGAATCTTTCTTGACAGCACAGATTCCTATCGTAGCATTTCAAGGTCTAAAATTGGATGCCGGTGACAGAAGATAAGATCCTCTCTCCTATGTAAAAAATAGGAGAGGGATATGTTAAATTATTTCAATAAAGCTTTTTCATTTCTTCTTCAATAAAGTTTCTACAATAATTGTTCTTATCTTCTATTATTTTTGTCATGGTACAAGAAAAAGCTTTCTACTATTGCTTTTCCGTCGTCGAGCCATCGATGTGATAAATCTTTCCTCCTCGACGAATGGCAACTGTCTTCTCCACTACCACTTTGTACCAACGTCCGTTCCCTTCCGCTATGACATCTCTAGTGCTACGCTCACCAGCACTACCCCACCTTTCCTCTTTTACTGTAGCATTCTTCTCTATTGTAGCATTGTTACAGCTTCCTTCTTTATTACAACTTCCTCCTCTGCTATACCTCTATTGTAGCTTTCTCCTCTACTGCACCTCTACTGTAGCTTCCTCGTCTGCTATAGTATCACTACAACATCGCTGCAACTTCCTCCTTTACTATAGCTTATTCCTCTGCTACAGTTTTTTTCTATTACTATAGCTTTCTCTTCTACTGTAGCCGTAGCAGTCGCAACAACAACAATATATATCAGACTATATGCAAATTTAATTTAAAATTTTAAACTTTGAAAATATAATTTAAATTAACTCGATCAGTAATTGATGACGATAAAATTATCCTCCCATAACATCTCACTTAAATATTTCCAATTAAACGTCCATAGTTGCACTCGTCTAACTCGAATAATGGCGACGACCCTACTGCTGCATGCGTGCATTGATCGTCCCATCCTTAAGGTAATGAGTGCTATCATGTTCACTTCGTTCTGTCCACAACTTCCGCACAGTTTGACTTCTCTTATTTCTTTTGACGTAGGATGAGTGATTGACAATTGACAAGTGGGGAGTCTTTGGCATTTCTCTTCTCCTATTTTTATGTCTGTCATCAGCACAGTGGACTTCTATTTTGATTAATGAGCTTCGTTCATTAGCACTTGCAGCAAAGTCTAGCTTTAGAAGGATTACATACAAAGTTCCCTCTCAGATCATATATTTGGCCTAATGCCCAATAAATTAAGGAATTAGTTTTGAGGTTTTCTAATTAAAAAAAAGGATTATGTACTCTACAACTACATATGTTTTTAATAAGGAGTCACGATAACTATTAAAATCAAGTAGAGTTAATCTATGTGAATGATAATATGAAATCAATTATATTGGGTCCAAATTTTGATTGGTTAATAAGATAACAAGATGTTGACATAATCATTTGATATAATTTTAGTTTATTTGGTCGATATTGATTTCATTCAACGTATCATAGGTAGGGCCAATTGCAATGAAAAATAATACTTTATGAACTTGCTTGTCAATGCTTAGCTTTGGATCATTTTATCACTATAAGTGTGCTTACAACAACTCATCACATATATGTATGTTTACTGTATAAAAGAATATTTCATTGATATTAGTATAATCTAAATAAATAAAGTCAAAAGCTAATTTTTTTTTATATAGAGAAAAATATTTTTTTTTTCTTTTTATAAAGATAAGTGAAGATTACAAGATTCAATTAAAAAATTTATATCGTTTTATTATTTTCTTTGATTAACAAAAAAATTAAATAATAGATATATCATTGGGAATCGAGTCAAAGGATAAGCTAAAAGTCGTAATGGTAATAATTGCTACGTAATCTTATTATTATGGAACCATAGAACGGCGAGTTGACGAAAGGTGGCGAGGCGATAAAGGGAAACGGTGGGCGCTATAAATGACGAAGTGGAGGAAGAAGAGGCGGGCAAGTTTTGGTTACCGCTTACCGCTTTCTGCGCTTCGCTCTTCCAGCGCTCGTTTGGTCGCTGGGAAGACAACAAGAGCAACGTAAGATCGCCATGGCGACATCGAGCGTGTGTCCGGCGCCGATGACGGCGACGTCGAACGGGTCGTGGGACGGGGATAACCCGCTGCACCACTCGCTGCCGCTCATCATCCTCCAGATCTGCCTCGTCCTCGTCGTCACCCGCTCCCTCGCCTTCCTCCTCCGGCCGCTTCGCCAGCCCCGCGTCGTCGCCGAGATCATCGTAAGCCCCGTCGATCCCTCTCTCTGTCTTTGCTCGTTCCGCTCCTCCCGCTTGGCTGAGGGAACTTCTCCCCCAGTTGCGGTGCCGAGTTTCCTGATTCCAAACCCTAATCCTTCCAGTAACGGAGTCGATTCCGTGGGAAACGAACCTCCAGTCCAAGAGCATGTGGTGTTGGGAGTGGGATTTGGGACCGGAAACAGGGGCGGGGCATTTCGTAGGAAGCTTCAGATCGAATTCCACCGATTTGACATAGAAAGAAAGAATTGCAACCAATACATTCGCACTCCATACAAGTTCGTTTTTTAGATCTTTAGGAGAAGAGATAAGGTTCGTCCTCTTGATCTGTTCCCATTCGCCTTACCATTTACTTAGACTTTTAATTTGGTTGCCCCAATCGCAATTTGACTTGCGAGGACACGATTTCGATTTGGATAGTTACAGAGCAGAACAAACGAGACCAGTTGATGGTAATATATGGTGACAAGCGTAGATAGATCAACCAAATTCAAACACATCGTGTGAATGGTAGGAAAAAACACGTCTTTTATATCTGTCCCCATTTATCCAGTTCTATATGGTTCATAGTGACGGTAGAACTACGGATGCATGACGGTCACGGCCGCCGCCACTTTGGAATGTGGTTGATTTCCACCACAGTGTTAGCGCTCTGTTCGTGTGATGGTACTAACTCTTGAATCGTGTTGCAGGGGGGGATACTTCTTGGGCCATCAGCGCTTGGCCGCAGCAAGAGGTTCACGGACAATGTGTTCCCCAAGCAGGGCATGACGGTGCTCGACACGCTGGCCAACATCGGCCTCCTTTTCTTCCTCTTCCTGGTCGGCCTCGAGCTCGACCTTCGATCCATCCGTCGCACCGGCAAAGGGGCCCTGGCTATCGCCATCGCTGGCATCACCCTCCCCTTCGTCCTCGGCATCGGCACCTCCGTCGTCCTCCGACACACCATCGTCGAGGGTGCCCGCCAAGGCCCCTTCCTCGTCTTCATGGGCGTCGCTCTCTCCATCACTGCCTTCCCCGTCCTCGCCCGCATCCTCGCTGAGCTTAGGCTCCTCACCACCGACCTCGGCCGCATGGCCATGTCCGCCGCTGCCGTCAACGACGTGGTCGCCTGGATCCTCCTTGCCCTCGCCATCGCCCTCTCCGGTTCCGGCTCGCCGCTCATATCCCTCTGGGTCCTTCTCACCGGCATCGGCTTCGTCGCCTGCGTGGCCATCTTCCTTCGCCCTGTACTCGCCTGGATGGCCCGGCGCTCGCTGGAGGGCGAGCCCGTGAAGGAGTCCTACGTTTGCGCTACACTCGCCATTGTGCTCGCCGCCGGCTTCGTCACCGACGCCATCGGAATCCACGCCCTATTCGGCGCCTTCATGGTGGGTGTCGTCGTGCCGAAGGACGGGCCCTTCGCGGCGGTGATCATCGAGAAAGTGGAGGACCTTGTTTCCGGCCTCTTTCTCCCGCTCTACTTCGTCTCCAGCGGTCTCAAGACCAACGTCGCCACGATCCGCGGCGCCCGCTCCTGGGGCCTCCTCGTCCTCGTCATCACCAACGCCTGCCTCGGAAAGATTGCCGGCACGGTCGTCGCGTCCCTCATCGTCAAGATCCCCATTCGCGAGGCCTTCACTCTTGGCTTCCTCATGAACACCAAGGGACTCGTCGAGCTCATCGTCCTCAACATCGGGAAGGACCGCAAGGTTTGGTTCACAGTGCACCGTCTCTTTTCGCTGCCTTCGTCCCTCGCTATTTATCTTAACCACCTATCTTTGACACATATATCATACCGACAGGTACTCAACGACGAGACGTTCGCCATCATGGTGCTGATGGCACTGTTCACCACCTTCATCACCACCCCCATCGTCATGGGAATCTACAAACCGGCCCGGAGGGCGGCACCCTACAAGCACCGGACGGTCGAGAGGTCCCACGTGGACAGCGAGCTCCGCGTCCTGGCCTGCTTCCACGGCGTCCGCAACATCCCCACCATTATCAACTTGGTGGAGATCTCCCGCGGCATCCGCCATCGACCCCTCGCCGTGTATGCCCTGCACCTCATGGAGCTCTCGGAGCGCTCATCGGCTATCTCGATGGTACACAAGGCCCGCCGCAACGGCCTCCCCTTCTGGAACCGGCGGGACAATGCCGGCCACATGGTGGTGGCTTTCGAGGCGTACCAGCAGCTCAGTGCCGTCAATATCCGCCCCATGACGGCCATCTACGACCTCGACACCATCCACGAGGATATCGTCGCCAGCGCCTTGCAGAAGCGCGCCGCCCTCATTCTTCTCCCCTTCCATAAGATGCAACAGCTGGACGGCACCCTCGAGTCCGTCGGCCACCCCTACCATCTCATCAACCAGCGCGTGCTCCGCCATGCCCCTTGCTCCGTCGCCATCGTCGTCGACCGCGGTCTCGGCGGCACCGCTCAGGTCTCCTCCAGCGAGGTCTCCTACACCGTCGTGGTCCTCTTCTTCGGCGGCCCGGACGACCGCGAGGCCCTCTCTTATGGTGGGCTCATGGCGGAGCATCCGGGCATCGCACTCACCGTCCTCCGCTTCCTCCCGGCCCCTGTTGAGAACGTGGACCGAAGCGCCGAAGACGAGGCGTGCATTTCCAAGTTCCGGTCTAACTCGCAGTCGTCGGATGGGTCTCTCACGTACGAGGAGTCGGCGGCCGCGGATATGGCTGGGATCATAGCAGCTATCAAGAATCTGGGACGGCGCAATCTCTTCCTAGTGGGTCGGTCCCCGCCGGCGGTTGCCCTGGTCGAGAAGAGCGACTGCCCGGAGCTGGGCCCGGTGGGAAGCTACCTGGTCTCCGCGGAGTTCTCGACCACAGCGTCGGTGCTAATAATACAGCGTTACGATCCTAGCCGGGAAACCTCCAGGCTAGTGGAGCAGGTGGAGGCGGCGGAGGTGGCCGACATGCCTGACACACCGCTGGCTCTCGTGACCTCCGAGCGTTCTCTGCGTGCCTAATGACAGCCAAGGTAGAAGAAGGCGATGGGTTTCTGACTTAGTTCTTTCTCTGTGTTCCTTATTATATACTTAGTTGATTATCTTATCACAAGAATCGTGATCATCAAAGCAAAATAATAAGTTCATTAGATTCTTGAATCAAATTTAATATTTATTAATTTAACTTAAAAAAAATAATTTATTTAGAAAAGTAAATCTCTATGTATACAAAGGATATTTTTATTCACAATCCTTTTTTTGTTGTTGTCCTTCTCTCGGAATGACCTCACGAAGCCCATTACCGGTGGGATCCGCTTTCCCTTAGAAGCAATGAGAGAGTTATCAACGAAGAGATGTAATATCTTTTTTTTTTTTAATTATTTATAATATTTATAGTTTTAAATTATTTTAATATAAGAATTATTTAATAATTTTTATATTAAATAATTTTATATTAAAAACTTATTATTAGTTAACATAAGGAATGTGTCACTTGTGTTTGTCATATTGATGACATCTATGCTTATCATTCGTCTCATGTATGCTTATCACTTTATTATCATTGTGTTAGTTAAATCGTGCCTATCGCTTTATTATCATTGTGTTAGTTAAACCTAAACAAATTAGAGAAGAAAACTTATCAAATGAAAACCTTAGCTCCAACCCATCTTGGATTAATTCTATACACTTAAGATTAAATTATTCTAAAATAAGTGTTTACGCTCATCCAACGGTAATTTTTAATTTTTAATTTTTCTTGATTACAAGTATTTTGTAGAGTTTTCCCTTTGCTAATGGTGTTAATCACATTTGAACTATAAATTTGTTAATTTAATTTTTTTTTAATTTTGACCTATCTATCTTGTTTTAACTATAATATTTTATATAGAATTCTGATTTAGGCAAAACTTATTTTTTTAGAAACTAGACTTTTATATATTTTTAATATATTACTTGAAAGATTTAGAATGTAAATATCTACTTAAATATTTGTTTCATTTAATGATTTGGATTCTACAAACTAAAGATAATAGTTTTTAATATCTCTATATTAAATTGTTTGTAACTCTCTATAGGTAATTTTTAATTTATAGATTCAACCGGAACAAATTTATTTTCAAATTTTCCTATTTTTGTTTCTATATTTTCAAATTGATCATCCGTAAATATCTATATTTTAGTTATAATTCTGCCTTCAATTGAACCTTATGTGCCTGTTTTAAATCTTGTATATCTTGTTATTAGTTTTTCTTATATCTGAGTTATATAAAAGTTTATGTTTGTCTCTTTATATTTGCACATGTATACTTTTGTTGCACACAATACCATTTTATACTTCGAAGTTTATCGGATAATATGGACTTTTGTCGAAAATGAGAAAGGGAGTTAATGTGTAGAACTTGTAATGCTCTTATCGGCCCTTCATCTAGATGTAGGTGGATGAAGCTACCAAACGTGATAGGCTAATATTAATGGTCATCCAAAAATGGATGAATCATGTTATACTATTATCTTGTTTCACCATCTATGTTCTTTTGATATGTTATCCAAAGTACTTATTTATGTGTTCTTATATGTGTTTTGGAAATGAACCAAATAAACGAAATATCAAATATGACACTTGAGCTTATGTTTTATACTTATTTCTTGATATGTTGCTAAATGTTATTTACTTCATTGATATGCTTTTAAATTCTCTTTCCTTTATTTAAGAGTAAAATACTCTTTACTCTATTAATGTACTCCTAAATATTTTTTACTTCATTAATATACTCTTAAATATTCTTTATTTCATTCATATGCTCCTAAATATTCTTTACTCTATTGATATGATCTTAAATGCTCTTTACTAAATGAGTGAAAGAAAATATCAAATATGACTACTCTTGAGCTAATGACTTGTATTTTGATATTGAGGAGTTAATATGTTGCTCTTTGGTCCCTTGTTAAGTATACTTCTAACGAAATGATATCTACGATTCTTATATCTAATGAAATGATAATTATGATTCTTGTATCTAATAAAATGACATTTATAATTTTTGTATCTAATGCAATGACATCTATGATTCTTATATCCATACGTTGAATCTTAATATAAGCTATTATCTTTTCGTCATAGATAAAATGATAATTATGATTCATATGAGCTATTATCTTTTCGTTATAGATATGTTAGTCACTTGCTAAGCTATGTAGCTCACATTGTTATTATATAAAATTTTCAGATTAACTTGTCACTCACTATAATGTTAGGATTGGGCTGAGACAGTGGATGGTAGAAGATTTTGAACAAGTCTTTGATGATTTAACATGATGTTGTTGTATAAAGTATCCTTTTCTTGTAATGAAATATTGTTAACAAATCTGAATTAATATATCTCGTAAAGGTTAAAAGACCTCCGAAATTTTAGAATATTAAATTAAAGTTTTATGATAATAGAGCTTTATATCTATGTATTTTATGATAATAGAGCTTTATATCTATGTATTTTATGATAATAGAGCTTTAAAGCTCCAAGTATATACTGATGTGGCTAATAGAGCTATGATAATTAAAAGAGATATTAAGAAGATTCAAGATATTAGAAGCAAAATCAGAATTTGATAACAAGAGGGTTAAGATATCTAGATTTAGTAAAAAGTCACAACAAAATACTAAATCATGTATAAAATATGAATTAAATTATGAAACAAGTTAATATTTTTAGATAATTGAAGCATGTGTTGCTCGTGAAAAGTTAGATAATAAAGTAAAAGATTACTCTTTGATCAAGAAGAAAGAGTAACCGTCTCCTACATTATTAGCTCATATGTTATTATCGAACAATATTATAAGGCTTATAAGTCAATAGTCGAAAGTATTATTTATATTTTTAATAAAAATATAAAAGTTTTGTTTGATTTTGTTCTAATCTATCTTATTTCACTTCTGAACATAAACTTCTTACTTATATGATTCTCCTATAGATACCAATTAATCTCATAAACTTAAACTTTTAAATTATAAATAAAAATCTAACATATATAATCAGACTTTTTTAATTACTAAAGATACGAGACTATCCTCTCAAGATATTTGTCTTCGTCTCACACACAGACCCCACTTATTGGTATTTGTCCATAATGTTACAACTCATCTTAACCTAGAATTTTAAAATATAACTATTTTTTTTTTAAGGAGTTACGATAACTATTAAAATTAAATAGAGAGTGAATCTACGTGAATGATAATGTGGGATTGTATTATGTCAAAACTTTGATTGGTTAACAAGCTAACAAGATGTCTGATGCGGTCATTTGATACAATTTTGACTTGTTCTGTCAATATTGACTTCATTCACAAAAAAACACGTATCTTAGGTAGGACCAGTTTTAAGTAAAAACAGCCTAGCTTCCGATTATGGTATGTGCTTACCAGAACTCATAACATATATGTATCTTTACTATATAAAAGAATATTTCATTGACATTAGTTTAATCTAAATAAAAAAATCAATCTAAAATTATATATATATATATATATATATATATATATATATATATATATATATATATATATATATATATATATATATATATATATATATATATA